ATATGATTAATGTAACTATAAACTTTTTAAAATTTATAAGAGGTTTAGAAAAATTAAAAGCATACTACTATATTGATAAACAACATATATTTATACAAGATCATAATATTCATAAGAATCATAATATTTATGATTATAATTAATATTAATTTTTACCAATCCACTTAGTTAAAACCTTTTCAAGTTTATCAGCTTTCAGTGGTTTTGCAAGATAATCATTTATTCCTGACTCGATACATTCGGGTTGTATTTCTTCCACGGATAAAGTTGTTAGAACAATAATCGGAATATTTGAGATTGGTGTCCTCATTGCTCTAATTGCTCGTGAAACATCATACCCTGACATTATTGGCTGAATATAATAATTAATTCAATAAATTGCAAATATTTTATCATTAAAGTATAATTAACAAATTAAGCTTACCAAATTACATTCAGTTAATATTAATGATATTCTGCAAAATTTTATTTGATTTATTTCTGAATTGAATGAACTCGAGTACGAATGTTTTGATAATTTAACATTAGAATCAATCAACCTAACTGCCTCTTGACCATTTGCTGCAGAGACTGTTGAATAACCAAGTTTCGAAATTTGTTGCAATGTGTTCTAAAATAAAATAAATTAAAGAATTTATAAATATTACGAGCCTACATTATTAAACCTTAATTACCTCTAAGCTTATAGAATCATTATCCTACAAATATTGGTAAAACAATTGATTAAAGCGTATCATATTAAATAATCATGCATTAATTGGCCAGAATAAATGCATACCAACATAAAACACATTTTCTCCCAAAATCTCTTTCAGTTACGTCCTCATATATACCTTGGTTCGCATCTCCAATCTTATAAAGTTCATAATCTGCTACTCGCTTTAGAATATTTGTATTTTTATCAGTTGTAATATTTTTTTCCAGATGAATAATTTGATTAATTAACTTTTTTAATGTAATTGGAGTGTAAATAACAGAGGTAATTTTCCCAAGCTTTCTAATTAATTTTCTTGCCAACCCATTTCCTTCATTACTCGGAAATACTATAAAAATTATAATTAATCTATTACTATCCATATCCAATGCCTTTAACTTTAATGATGCTTTCATGACTTCTTCTTCATTATTTTCATAAAGGCCAATGAATGCTATATCATAAGCTGATTGATTATGCAATTCTTTATATGTTTGAGCAGCTTTAATACCTTCGTCAAAGGCATCGAATGCATCAACTTTATCAGCAATTTTAAAATATTTTATCATTGAGTTTCTCATACTTTTGACTGGGTGGATTATTAGTATTCGTTTTTTTCTTATAAAATTAGGTAATGTATAGTTTATTTGCTTATCATATTACGTCTCTAATAACGAGGAAGTTGGAAGTTTTGAAATAGTTGGTGTCATTGATGATAATAGTTCAATACTCCATGTAAACCAAAATGTACTTCCTTCTCCTAATTGGATTTCTGCTTTAATTTCTCCTCCATTAATTTCTACTAGACTTTTACAAATTGAAAGACCAAGTCCAATACCATCTTGCTTCCTGGTTATTGACATATCACCTCGTGAAAAACTTTCCCAGGCATGTTGTATATATTCAGGATTCATGCTATTAATATTAAATAAATAATTAGATAACGTACATATTAAAACATTAAATCTATAGTAATAAGTAGCTTACCCAATACCAGTGTCATATAATTCAATTAACAGAATTCCACTTTTATTCATTTTGTTTTCTTCAATATCTTGTGACAACATTGAAATTGTCAGTACAATTTCACCTTTTTCAGTAAATTTAATTCTAAAAAATTAACAATGAATTACTAGTTTATAAATCAAACGTAAACATAATTACAGAATTATGTAAATATAATTACGAATTTGATAATAAATGGAATAAAACTTGTTTCAGCCTATTTAATATAAAAAAAGACAAGATAAGTATTTATTTATTTTATAAGCTGCAATGGTTTTAATCACCTCTCAGGATCACTCCTAACATATCTCGGCAACTTATCTACATCATAATTTATGATCAATTCAATTTTTTTATTTCCTGCACTTTTCCCAAATGCCTCAACAGTGTTGTCAAATAATTCTAATAAATCAAATGTTCTATTTACAAGCGTGATTTTTTGTGCTTCTAATTTTGCTGCATCGAGAATATCATTTACTATCGATAATACTACATCAGAAGCACGTGCTATGATATCAATCATGTCTTTTTGATTAGTAGTTAAGTTAGCATCTTCAAAGGAAGAAAGAGATCCTATTATTGCACCTAATGGTGTTCTTAATTCTATGAAATTAAAATTAATTAGTATGATATAAAGATGATTTTAGAAATATACGTAAAGAAATTAATGTACCATGAGAAGTATTTGCTAAAATTTGACTCTTGGTATAATTTGCAAATTCAGCCGCTTTAATTTGAATCTCCTTTTCAAAATTCTCTTCTACTAAATTTATATGAGTAATAGATAAACTTATTTGATTTGAGATTTGTTGTAAAAAGTCTATTTCAGAATCGAGCCAAATAGAATTTGGAGATCTATGTACTTTGATCCATCCCCAAAGATCATCATTTAACCTTATTCCTATAGATAACAGATACATTTTTACAAACATAATCACAATATACATCAAAAGAAATATCTATTCCTGAACCATTATTTAAAAATTCTTTTGAATTATTAAATGTTGATAATTCACTCTCATCGTTTGTACTAAGCTCCATAGATGAAATTTCCGAGCTTTCATATAAAGCAATTATATTATTGCTCTCAGATTTAGATTGTTCATTTGAAATAATAGCGACTCTTTCACATGGCAATCTGTGATAAACTTCTTCAGCGACATATTGTAATGTTTCCTTCATACTTGATCCCGAAAAAATTTTAGTTGAGATTGAAAGTAGTAACTGCTTTATTTTTTCCTGCTCAGATCGTTGGAATATTATTTTACGACGAAGAATTGATAACTCAAGATTAGTACGAATACGAGTAATTAGTTCACGAGTAGAGAATGGTTTTACTAAATAATCGTCTGCTCCTTTATCTAGACCTAAATAAAAAAAAAGTCGATGCATTTAAAAATCAGATGTAAAAATAGATTTGCTAATTTATTAAAATTACCTTTAATTTTAGAATCTTCACCATTTTCTGCGGACAATAATATTATTGGAATAAATTGAGTCTTTATATTAGATCTTAATACATCCAATAACTCATATCCATTCAAATTTGGCATCATGATATCTATTAAATTCAAATCATTTAATTCAATGATCATTATAAATAACACACATATATATATGATTAAAATATAATTACTTGCCACTGAGAATTAAATCAGGTAATTTATCAAGTTTTTTTAAAACTCTTAAAGCATCCTGACCATCACAAGCATGGTGTATATCAAATTCATTTAACAAGTCTGCGAGATAATCTATAAATATAACCAGTATTAATAAGAAACAGTTTACAGGTATAACCTAATTGGATAAATAAATTATTACCTCATATCATTATTATTGTCAACAAGTAAGACTTGATACTTTTTTCTAGAAACAGGATTATTCGCGGGTAAAAGAAATGAAAATTCTTTTATTAAAGTTTTATCATTATAATCAATCGGCAATTGATCTATTATATCATTTTTGGCTTCAGATATATTATTTTTTGCCCATAGAGAACATTCTTTCAAATAAAGTTGTCGATGAGTGTAATCACGATCTATTGGATTTTCAATTTCAAAGTGTATTTGATTTGTTGGCAAGTGCATACATATATCCTATTGGAAACCAACATTTAAAAGTAGTCCCTGTATTTACTACTGAGGTTACAGTAATGTCTCCACCATGGCGTGTTACAAGTTCTTTGATGAGTGCAAGTCCTATTCCAGCACCTTCATGACTACGTGAACTTTGAGATTCTACACGATAAAAGCGCTGAAATATGTTTGGAAGTGCGGCTTCAGGTATACCAACACCTGAATTAATCCAGAGTTGAGTTTAATACATATAGATATTCACTTCAAATAATTGTCTATAATAATTAGTTTCATAAATAATATTATTAACCTGTATCAGACACTTCAAGAACTACCATTCTTTTCTCATCTTTATAGTCAATATATAATTTTTTAAACTAACATAAACCTTTTTAGTATAAAATGATTTATTGATTGTTTTAGGTATATTGCATAG